CTTCATGCCAAAATGTGTGAAGCACCAAATTCAAATGAGTTTTGAGGCAATATCAAAGTGTAAATATACATAAAGATTCTACTAAATAGAACAACCGGGCCATTAGAATTTGTGGCTTATAAATATTTTCAAGGCTTCTATGTATAAATGAAATTATTATAACAAGGTTGAGTATAAATGTCATCTAATTTCTTCTTAAAAAGGACCATAATCCCTTTTGTAATTGCCCTTTATCACCTGGGGAATACAGACATCGAGCAAAACAGAGATTAATAAAATACAGAAACTATTTATAGCCCTTAATTATCAAAATAAAGATACACATTTACAGATAACCATTTAATCTTTATTAAAAAATCAAACATAAGTATAGTCTATATGATTTTAATGAGCAAGAGTGTTACAGTGTAAAAGTAGAAACATTCCACACTAAGTCCTCCTGCACACAGAGCAGCATTCCATGCCCTCCAATTTGCCATCCAAACAGGAAGGCTAACTGTTTGTGAAAGAAACCTCAATCAGACTGAAAATGATACACAGATTCTTAGCGTTAAGAAATAAAATGCCAACTGTGTAATTCGATTTTCAGGTTTCCCAATGTTCATATGCATGCTTTAGCCAACAGTGTGGAATGTATACAGTGTAGTTCCTCGGATGATAGCAGTGCTCAGCCTACCACATCACAAAGCTGTATCAAGAGAAGTACTTTTCAGAGTCTCAGACTCATCTACTCTTTCATACTATTCTACATTGCATCAGGTTGGAACATCAGGAGACTGTACACTTGGACCACATCAGCTTGTTGTTCCTTTATGTTAGGCCAACTAAATTGCTTTTCAAAGAACTTAGTTCAGGAAAAATTGGTTCATACTAGTTTTGGGGATCCTTTAGAGTTATATACTTCATTACAGTGAGAAACTTTTCATACAATTATCATGACCCTTGATCAGCACTCCAATCAACTCCTTGGCTTTTCTATTTTTATTTCTTTTATTAAATCTTTTGTTTGAGAAAGGCATGGTACAGTTATTTCTCAATAAAGACTGTTAACTAATAAGAACTTCAGATAATACTGCAAATATCACAGTTTCATTTAAAGGTTTAAAAAGTTATATCTGGCTAAAACATGGAACACAGTAGAAAATGTTATTAAATAGTATTTTTAAAATTCACATTACTTGTAAAATTACTTGATCATCCTTGATCATGGCACAGTAGCAATGAAATGCAATCATCTAGCACCACACATTCATTCTGTATGTGGAATGAATATGTAGACTATATTTATGTATAAACTGCAACTGGACATTCAAAAGAAAATGTCATGAAATTCCTGATTAATGTTGTGAATTATAAATTCTCTTTGTTACTATACAAGGTACTATCCACAAAATGTTGAATTAAAAATTTTATTATAGTAAAAGACATTGCCATTAATCTCCCTCAAAACACTCTCACTTTGAATATACATCATAGTGCTACTTTCTTTGTTTTGTTTTTTGTTTTTGAGACAGGGTCTTACTTTATAGTACAGGCTGGCCTTGAACTCACCGTGATCCTCTTGGCTCAGCCTCCTGATTGCTGAGATTACAGGCATGCACCATCATGCCAGGCACATAGTGCCACTTTCTACAGCAGTTTTTAAAGCCCTTTTTTGTAAATGTCTTCACTTGTGCTATCCTGACTGCCTCAGTATCCGAAACAATTCCAAAATGTTTAACCTTTCCTGGTCATTTTGACTTTGGGGAAGAATTGTAAGCCGTGTGGTGACAGCTCCAGGGAATAAAGTGAATGAGGACACATTGGAATGTTTTTAAGAGCCTGCCTTTTCATTGGATGCACTATGCAGCAGCATTCACATTTTTATCAAACCCTGTGAAGACATTAAAGAAAGCAGACTTCTAGAACTGCTTCAGAAAGTGGCAATAGTCATGAAGCATCCTAGTTGAAACGAGATGGAGCATTTTGAGGGAGATTAATGGCAATGTCTTTTTATTATAATAAATTTTGTCATTTAAACATTCACCATATATTTTGACCATGTATATACTTTCAAAGCTATAGTTGTTTAAACACAACATCACAATGACAAAATTTATTTCAGTATTTTTTCAATGAAGAAGCTCTTCTTTTAATTACTATATCATCTAAGAAAATTGCCATGATTCCAGTATAGCTAATATATAGTCCACATTAAAAGTTCTCTAATTGTATTCAAAATCTATAGCCTTCAAAAGAGATCATATCTATCTGTCTGTAAAAGTTCAGGACCTAATCATGGTAGAAACATTGAATTTGAATACATGTCTCTTTAGTCTCCTTTAATTTTGTATAGCCCCACTACTATTTCATCTTTTATGATAAAGATACCATTTATAAACCCAGACAGATGTCTTACAGAATGTGCATATTCTGATCAGTCAGAGTCACTCTTTATGATTAGACTGGAATACTATAATGTTTTATGTCTCACATTATATCACTTTACAAGGCACATGTCCATTTGTCCCACTATAGGAAATGCTAAATTTGATCCCCTAACTTCAGAATATGACTTCCAGATCTCTCCACTATCCAGGTGCATTTTTCCTCTTTGGAATTAATAGTTGAGGAGAGAACAATCGAGAGACCATGTGAATATCCAGTTTATTTACAGCCTTCCACTCAACAGTCTTAACATCCAATTTTGATCTTTGCTTGAGTTAATTAACAGTACTAACTAGCAATTTCATAATTCTATCGTTCTATGCTTTAACTGTTATTCCTCTGTAAAGAACAATCTCACATTTCCCTCTTCCTTTTCACCTCTTTTTATTAGAATGGGTTTCTTAAAATTTTCAATCAGTGAACAGTATTACAATCCACTGCTATCATTAATCTTTCAGATGTTCAAATTATATCATTTTCCTTTAGGAACCCAGAAAGCAACTTTCTGCATTTTTTGACAAGTCTCCATCCGACAGATTATGAACACTGTATTTCTAACATAACAAAATGTTCCAGGATATTTCTCCCTAACAGCCTGCAATTAGAAATTTCTGTAAGAAGCACTGGCTCCCTTTAGTGGAGAACAGTATTTGTGAACCAAAATATGGACTCCTAATTTATTTATCTTTATAGCAGCACAATGACGTCTAAAATACAGAAACTCTTTTTATGGACTGAGACATTAGTACCTCTACTTAAAATTCAACACCACAGTGCACCTCCTAATTTTGCCCCATTCCTTATTTGTATTTCCCAGATCCTTGCTTCTCCAAAATCCAATATAATTACTCATTTACTCTACTATATATTACACATAAATATTCAGAATTACTATACAAGTATCACTACAAACAAAAAATCTACTACGTATGGTTAAAGATCCTTTTGTGGGTGGTGGGTAGGTTGTTTGTTTTGGGTATTTCTGAGCCTGAGAATATTTCTGTGTAGTCAGAAATATCCATAATAAGGTTAAAGCTACTTAATTCTTTTGGTGATTATGTTATAAACTTGTTAGGTTTATCTCTTAGTTACTTTTCTCTCCTGGATGAGACAAAATATCCAACACCCAAAATTAAAGGGGAAAAGGTTCAGTTAGCTCACAGTTTGTAGAGGTTTCAGTCCCTACACAATCAGCTGGCTCCTAGGCAGGGTGGCATGGCAAATAAGCATTGCAGGGAAGAAACAGTTCATGGTGGACAAAAGTTAACAAAGCAAGCAAGGGGTGACCACAGCTCTTTATATTCCTTTTATTTTATCCAGGCTGTTAAGGGTATGCACTCACACCCTTAAACCTAGTGCCCTGGATCCTAACATTGCACCATGAATCAATTCCAGCATCACACACTCTAGATCCAGCCACCTCTGAGAAAGCCCCATAGACAGTCGTAGGCTTTTGGGGTGACATCTAGACATAAAATGTAACAGTTCATTTGTTTCTACTTCTATTTACTTTTAGTGTTGTTAGGTGACTGACTATATGAAACATTTACATATTTGAAAAGTCACAACTACAAGTATAAAAATATAGCCTCAAGGAGTCTCACTGTCATCCCTTTCCCTCCCTAGAACTCACCTCTTTATAGCAACCATTTCACTGGTCTTTGGTTAATCCTTCCTATGTTTTTCCTTTGCAAAATTAAGCTACACATTTTTTAACAGTTTTCTTTCTTTTTTTACAAAATAGGACCATGCATGTACATTTTGTATCTGGAAATTATTCCATATTGATTCATTATTCTTTTTAGTATTATATTCAATATTTAGTTAGTATTATATTCAGTCTCTGTGCAGAGATATTTAGTTTTTTCCAATATTCTGCCACTACTAATAATCCTACAATGAAAAATATTGAGCATATGTTCTTCCATAGTTGAACATGGAATTCAGAGTAAATCCCTACAATCTGAGGTAGTAGGTCAAAGAGTAAATGCAGGTATAATTTTGTTAAATATACCAAAAATTCTCATAAAGTTATAACATTTCACATTCCTATCAACAATGTTTGAGGGTACCTGTTCCCTCACAGGCTTATCAATTAAGTGTGTTCTACACTTTTGAATGTTTCTCAGTCTTTGTGTATTTTAATATGCATTACCAATTAAGTTGAACATCTTTTCATATATTATTATATATACTGTATCTTGGTGAATTATCCATGTCTTTGTTCATTTTTAAAATTATGATTTAAATTTTTTCAATGCAAAAAGCAATTCAATAACCTTACAAAATATAACATTTTGCTTTAAAAAATAAAAAATAAAAATATGACAACATGTGAATCAACTGCAAAGTCATTTAAAACTTTCATATTCTATGATATTCCAAAAGTCCAGTAAGAAGAATTATGTCAAGTGAGATGAATGTTAAAAGAAAATGCATTCAAGTTACATTTTTATGACGCCAATCAATGTTCTAAATGGTTAATCCCATAAACAACCAAGCCTCTGGGGAATGTCAAAGCTTGAGAAACATGACTAAGAATAACTTTCTTGTCATGGTTTCATTGCACCCACCTCACAAGTACAGGTAATCCTCCGAGGATGAGGGGCTTCCTGTTGTAGCTGATACACTGCAAAAAGACAGAAATAGAAGATGTCAGTCTCCTTTATGTCGAACTTGTGAATATATTAAGAGCATGAAACTGGTTGCATTTTATGCTCATAAGAAAACTGGTTCACTTCATGTTATTAAATTAAAATTTGTTATAAACAAAACAAAGTAAACTGAATTTAATGCAAGTCTAGGAGCAAGCACAGAACGAGAAATCAGAACCCATACAAATGTCTTTTTACCTTATAACAAACCCATGTTAGATATTTAGCTCTGTTCTTCATAATCTGGTCATTTATTTCTCCTAATTTGTTGTGGGTGTATTAAAGCATTCTTTGATATAAACCAATAGTGGTTCAATATCTACATATATTTTAAAGTACATTATTAAGTGCCAAAGTTGAAGCTAAAATTAGGATTTACAGCCTAGAAGTAACAACACATATTTTGTTTTTCTCTTAATTTATACTGCAGAAATTTATCTTCAAATATAATCTCCCCTAAAAACAAATTTTATGAGGTAAAGATACTACCAGTTATTCAACTAGAGAAATGTGAAAAAAGTAAGAACCAGATACTGAAAAAACTTTCCAAGAGTGAATAAATTTTTAGGCTATCTGGAAACATCTGTGAAAATTATACTGACACTATCATGATCTCTTTCCTCATTTTTAATTTTCTGACTTAAAATAAAAAAGAATGAATAGAATATGTGGCTGTTAGAGAAAAAAGTTTTTTTTTTTTCAATTGATTTTTTTTCTAGTTCTAAATATAGAATCATATACAAATTACTTAGGTTAATACTGTACTTAAATATGTAGATATTTTGTCAACATTATACAAGCTATTCAGACATCTGGAACTGTTAGATACTGTGACTCATTTCAACTGGATATAACACAGGTTCCATCTATGACCATATTCTTTCGTATTTGTCATGGGAACATACATAAATATATAATTAAGCTATACATATCTATACACAATCTACATATTGAGAACACACACAGACACATCACTCACTGTTTTGTGTCACTATGCAAAAGGAATACAGCATTGTGAGCATTTGGGTTTTTTTTTTTTTTTTTGGTCTTTTTGAGACACAATTTCTCTATGCACTTCAGGGTGGTCTTGAACTCATTGTGTACCCCAGGCTGGCCTCAAACTGGCAATCCTCCTGTCTCAGCCTCCCGAGTGCTGGGATTACACACATGTGCCACCACACCCAGTGAGAATTTGAATTCTTAAACCACCTGAGGTGTGAACAATGGAGCTCTACCACTAATATTGCATACCGTGTCTCAGTTTTCCTTGTTTATAAAGCAGGTAGAAGTTTCTACTTCACAAATAACTGTAAAGATTAAATAACTTCCTGTATATAAAGGTTTAAAGTAGTACCCAGCACATAGTAAAAGCTCAATAAAGCAAAGCTACATGTGACTGACTGAAATTATTTTAAAATTCTTTATAATATTTGATTACTATGATGCAGTCTGAGTTCATCATTAAGACATAATATTTAAAAACTGAAAAATTGAAAAACAAGCCAGCCATGGTGACAAATGCCTGTAATCCCAGCATTTAAAAAGCAAGGGAAGAGGATCACTCCCAGTTCAAGGCCAGCCTGGGCAGCAGAGTAAGACTTTGTCTCAAACAACAACAATAACCAATTAAACAGTACTTCCTCAGTAAGGTTTGAAATACATTATACTATGTTAAGGACAGCTTCAGACACTCATATCTCATCGTGAGAGTTACTATACTAAAAATACTCCTTTAGAGAGTAAGAAGGGCTGGAAGCACGCTCAGGGATAAAGTGCTTGCCTGGCACCCATGAGGCCTTGGGTTCAATCCCTAACACCACCACTACCAAAAAAAAAAAAAAAAATGCAATTGGAGATTAATGAGGTAATGTGAAGAAGCAATTCTGAGATGGGGAAGAGCAAGCACTGAAAGCAAATCTGTCTGGTGCTGACAGCACACGTGCATCACCCAAAGACACATGTAAATCTCCATTCTCTGTAAGAGAAGCCAAAACGTGATTTATAAGAAAAGAGGGTTCTCTCTGTCCATTCCTCCATATTGGTAACTGTACTGTAAGGTGAAAATTCAGTTCTCATTTCTGCTAATTTTAGTATAGTAGTTCAAAAGAGTACTCACTTTCCTTTGTCCATAAAATGGCCTGAAAAGTACTGTCACCTGTAAAGCTCAGTTATGAAATTGAGTGATGGTCAAGAAGAACATCAAAAGTTACCAGGGTAAGTAAAATGCTAATTGTGGCTCAAAGCACAAACACTGTAGTATCCAGTTATCATCCCTAAGTGCTCACCCATTCAGGGAGCAAATATTAAGCCAGTGTGAAAAAAGCAGTGACAATATCATCACATGAGAACTGATCCAAGTTTTACACTGTTTTTATCAGTTTCAAGAGGTATAGTTTTTTGTTTGCTTGTAATGCTAAATCACATAAGGTTATTAACTTTTCAATTTCTTTCAGTCCTTTTAATTACTCAAAAGGATATAGTTCTGTTTCTTGGAAACTTTTTAGACAAATGCCTCCTCATTGGCTAACTGATCTTTAAGATTCATTTTTAATAAATAAGGGATGCCTCTGTGTATTTTGTGACAAAATATAGCAAATTTGGATTCAGGGAACATCTATCAAAAGGATTATTAAAAATTACACACACAGCAGTAAGGTCTAATTAATTCAGGCACTTCTCCCTTAGTTTGAATTTTTGATAATCTGAATTGGAACTTAGCTGAATTTACATTGGTATAATCACTAAATGATTTGCCAGAAGTTAAAAGCTAAATTCAAGATGAGAGGGTAGGATGATAATACCTACATATTTTCAATCACCTTAGAAGCGTGAATGTTTATATACTTAATAATGAAATTCTCAGTGCCTAGAGACAATATACTGTTATTCAAGTTCATATATCACAAATTGCTACCTTAAATCAAAACTGATTCCCATACATTTTGCCAGCTTTTGAGTTTATTTTTAATGTTCAAATATTAAGAGATTTAAAAACAAAAGCAAAAGAAAACCCCAGCTTCTCTTTAAAACTCCAAAAGTGCAGCCGAAGTCTTACATGACAACAGCGAGGGTGAACGAGCCCCTCCACCAAGACCACATACCCTAGGACTGCTCTCTCACAGCCCCTAGCTCGCTCATGGCTCTAATTTATTACATGTGAGACTCCTGTTTTACCCAACCATACATTGAAAAGAAAACTGCATTTGCTTTCAAGGATTTGTCAAATTAGACTTCTTGATAAGTATTTTTTTTTCTTTTTTGGTACCAGGAATTGAACTCAGCCTTGCACTTACCAGGCAGGCGCTGCACCGCTGAGCTACATCCCTGGCCCAACTTGATAATTCTATTGCCCATTTGTATTTGTAAGGTTTTAGAATTATGTTTCCATATGCTTAACTGAACCAAAAAAGGAAAGCACAAAGAGGGACAGGTAAGGTAGTTTCTTGTAGAATCACAATAAAAAGTTTTTTATAGAAACACATTGTAGAAAGCTGTTCATATTCTATCATGCCAAAGACAAAACCAAAAAACCCTAACACATAGCTACTCTTGATATTAAAATTAAACTGTCCCCTTTAGAGGTAATGAAAATGCACAATCAGATTTTCTTGAAGTTTTCATTAATTTCATTCATACATACTTTCTTTTTTTTTCTTTTGGTTTTTTGGAGACAAGGTCTTGCGATGCAGCCCAGGCTGGCCTTGAATTCACAGTGATCCTCCACCTCAGCCTCCCAAATGTTGGGATTACAGATGTGCATCTATACATACTTTTTAAATATAAACTGATGTGCCTTATTTTTTAAAATTTGTGTGTGTGTGTGTGTGTGTGTAATTTTTTTTAAATTTCAATCTGATTATTTCAACTTTTACTACCATTTTGAGAATTTTCAGATAACTAAATTTAGGTTGCATCACAGAAAAAAAATGCTGAATGTACACATTACAGTCTGTCAGTCCAAAGACTGTGAGTAATTTACTGTCTATTAACTCTAACCAAATATGTGTACATAGGTCTGGCCTTTAAATGAAATGATTGATTATAAGAGTAGTAGGCAAGGCCAACTACCTCAGTTATTTAAAATTTCAATCTCTATTGATAAAATTGGGGCTTAACAAGCTTGTCAACCTTTAAAGGTTTTTTACTACCATGGAAAGATTCAACAGATGAACTCAAGTTATTATCAATCAATATCTTTTTAAAAACTACAACTAGCTGTAAAACTGACAGTGGAAAAGGCAAAACAGATTGAAAATAATTGCCATTTTTTTTCTGGGATCAGAATTTTGACAAATGCACTGTAATAATCTATATGACAACAAATCATTGTTACAATACAATTTTTAAATATTTTTGCATGGTTAAAATTTGACCATATTCAAATCTTGGAAGATCTAATTATGGTTTTATAGGATTTTTTTTTTAAAAAGGATATTTCCATTTGGCTTTAACACAGTTTAATGATAAAATGTCCTTGAATCAGAACTTTTTCACTTGATCATGAGATGATAAATCATCTATTCTAACAGTGCCTTCCATGTTTCTACTTTTAAAATGATGGTGGCAAGTTCAGGTATTAAAGTCATTAAAAAATAATAAAATTCAGTAAAGGAATTGTCACCAAAAAGAACATTTTTAAAAACAAATGGTAGCTACTGAAAGGCATGAAACTACAATTGCATATACCACATTTACTAATAAATATTCTTCAGGAAAAAATAAAATCACCATAAACTCAGTTAACAGCCTAAAACATTACAAATATTCTTACACTAAAAATGTTCAGGGCATAAGTCAGAGCTCAGAGGTCAAAAACAACCTGAAAATCAGAAAAGAATTTTAAAGGGACTTCTAGCCAAAGAGATTAGGAGACAAAATCTTCAGGAGATAAAGAATATTAGTCATTTCTACACATTAAGAACTTTACTCCTCAGAGGGAAAAAAAGAGATACTAGCAAAGAGGAAAACTACCTAT